ATCGCGCATATTATGAAATTATACTATGGAAATTCCAACCATGCTGGGTTTCTATGGCCAAAGTTAACTCCCAGATTGGTAAGACCAGAAGCCTGATTCTTCCAATAAATGGGGATTTCTGGGAAGAGCTGGAGGGGTGGAGGATGCCAGATAGCCTGGGACTCAGGAAGAAAGAGGTCCTGGCACATCAGACATTAAGAAAAAGCCACTGGTTAAGGGAGTATGAAGTGGCCAGACCCAGGAAAATGTTGCCGCTAAAGCCCAGGAAACATTTCCAACATGATGCTCTAAGACCTTGCATTTATTCATTCCAGAAATATTTCTCAAGTCCCAACTGTGCACCAGGTACTATACTAGGTACTCTGCATTCAACAGAGAACAAAATGTTATTGGTTCCTGACCTTCTGGGGCTTGCCTTTTAATTGTTGCTGCTAACAAAGACAAGAGGGCCTATAACCCAGACTTAACAGGCTGAGATCTCCGGATTCAGGACATGAGCTAGGTTGTGTCCAAGAAGAAAGACTGGGAGCAGCCCCTTGAGGCCTTGTTGGTTTCCCTGAGGTCATTTGTGAGCCTTAATATAAAGAATGTCAAAACAGTCCAAAAGTTGACAGCTGAGGAGCTAAAACCCTCTTAAGAGTCTGAACTTTCGGTTGTACAGTCTGCAAATCGAGAAACTCTGTTCACAGTCATGGATTCTCTGTTCTCTCATGTCTACTGTCCGCAAACAGCTGATCTTATCAGAGCAGTCGCAAGGGTCTGACTTGCTCCACACAAGGTAGGACTGACACCAGAACCCAACATCCACGTGCTGGACTGTCCGCAGCGGTGGTTTAAAAGCTCAGGTCCACAAGTCAGACCACCCAGGTTCTAAATCAGCAGCTGTGGAACCTCACCAAAGTTCTCCAGGCCTCAATTTTCTCACTTCTAAAATCATAGTAGCAACTACAGTCTTTGCCCCAGAGGAGGACTGTATCAACCGAAAATAAGGCATGTCAAATGCTTAGCCCAAAGCCTGGCCATATTATAACTACCCAGTAGATAGTAGCTATGATTGCTTTTTCCCTCTAATTGGGTGTTGGGGTTTTTTTAGATCTACCCCTGTTTTTCAGATGTGTGTAAAGGGGGAAAATTCACCATCTAGTCTTTAGATGGCAAAACGGCTAGACAGGATCATAACAGAAACTAAAAGAGGAATAAACATCACAGGAAGACTGTGGATTTTGAGGTCAAGAGGCAATGCACAAGGCTGCATTGCTGAGGGATCCTGGGACATCACTTCTGCACACAACAGCTAGAAGGATCTTGGGTTACTGTCTGCTGGAGAGCATGTGAGTGTTTTTGTGGTTGTCTACCAGTTAAGTTCTATCAGGCAGTGGAATTATGGGAGTGTGGAAGGAGGTGTGTCTCCCCACAAGGGGTAGATGAACTACAAGCATCCATCCTATTAGCCAACAGTTATTAAAAACACCCCACCCTCAGGGTCTACAGAGGGGGTGGACGCCATGTTTAGACCACAAGCAACCCCAGGACCCAACTATGGCAGCCAAACCACTGCAGAACAACCAGACTTTGAAACTTGGGTCCACTTTTCTATGAGTGCATTGGTATGCCAAGGATAGCAGGAGTTCAGAGGGGGAGGAAGTCAATGAACTTGTACATAATTTAAAGCATTTTTTTAATATTAACCCAAGCACACAGATAGGTTATGGAACAGACGGGGGAAAAAAATCATATTAAGTTTTAAAGCACTTCAAGAGCCACCCTCCAGCCTCACCTCCACACTGTAGGAGAGGTTGGTTGCTGCCTCTTTATTTAGGACTTTCAAGGGAAAGTTTGAAAAGCACTAGAATGGTGGAAAGAATACAAAAGTAGACATTTCAAGATTTGAGTTTAAGCTGGAAGGCTCAGGAGCTTACTATCTTGAGCAAGTTACTTATCTTGAGTTTCCTCATAGGTAAATGGGACTGTTCCTCATAGAATCAACTTTAGACTTGATCAGGGGCTCAGAAGAAATAATATACAGGGAAGTGCTGTACAAATACTTATTAGGATCATCAGAGAAAGGGTCTATGAAAATCAGTTGCCTTGGCGTGGGTGCATGGGTGAAGGTAACCTGCTCTAGTTATGAAAGTGGTTCAAAGTTGGTGGCAAGGCAGAAAAAGTAATGACCCAGCGTGTACACACTCATTGCACAAGCACCTCGTAAATTAATCCTCAGCAGAAGCAACTGACATATGAGAGCCAAGAAAGGAGAAAACACAACCCAGTCACTCCTGTCACTTTGCTAACCTGTGGTTGATTGAAGATGGACAAGAAGAGAGAGCCATCTAGTAGGAAGGGAGAAGGCAAGCAAATCCAACTGCTTGTGCCTCACTGCCTATGGATTACTGTTAAGATTCCTGTGTCTGCTCTGAAGGAATCGCTGTTGGAATCTATTGAGACTCCCTCTAGAGCGTTTCAAGTCAGTCTCTTGTTTTAGGCACCTGTAATTCAGCATGCCTTTTCCAAAATGCATTCAAAACCTGAAAATAAAATGCAGAACAAATGCAATGAAATGACATCATTGTTCTGAGTGACAACCAGGGGCACTCTGATCCTGTGACCCCATTAAATGGGGCTGCAACCTGCTATTGTCCTTTCTGTGGCAAAATCAGTAGCACCCAGCACAGAGCATTGCTTACACAAGCAGGCATCAAACAAATATCTGTTAAGTATCTTATCTACCTATTTAATAGGTTAGAAAAATTGTCAGCTTTTTCATCAACTACCACCTTTTTTTTTCATTCAAACCCCTCTTGAAATTCACTTCCATTAAGGCTTTTTAATGCGTACTAGCAGCAAGGAATTTACTTAAATGAAAGAAAAAAAAGCAAAACTCCAAGCTCCCACCTGTGCAGCCATGACATGCTATTGTTTGAACCAGAGTATATTATTTAACTTGGATGACAAGCTCAGGAGGTAGGGACCCTTTCAGAATACACAGCTCTGAGCACACTGGGAATTCTTGATAAATAACAGCAGCAAGAAAGGCTGTGGAGGGACCTCTTTTAATTATTTATTTTTCCAATTCCAGATTTTTGGCAGCATGTATTTATACCTGGCTTGATTTCCAAAGGACAGCTCTCTCCCAGAAGCTCCCGTGAAGATGGATAAACAGCTCTCCAGCCGCCCCTTCCCCCTCCTCATCCCAGAGCAAGTAGGAACACCTGATCAAGCCAAAGCGTGGATTCGGAGTGCACTCGGGATGCCTGCTGGGTTTGGAAGGGAACTAAGTCCTCCAGGACCCAAGGGGCACAGAGAGGCAGTCAAGGGAAATGTTTTGGCTCCGCACATCCACACAGCTGTCAGATGGCAGAGCTTGGACCTCCGCTGTTATTACCTGCTGTGGGCCTCTGAGCTGTCTTGTCATTAATCCCAGAGACCAAGTATGCCTAAAGCCCGGCACGAAGTAACATTTGGGGGTACATTCAAGTCTCTCAACAGAGGAGTAGAAGGCAATGGTTTCTGCCCAACTTGAACTCTTAGATGATAAAGATCCAATAAACACATATTAAATGTTATACGTGTATGGCAAGATGAAAGCATTTAGGGAGCATTATTATTTATGCTTTAAAAAATTATACCAGTAACTAAATGAAGGCATTATGTGTGTGTCCCAGCACACAACTAACTGATAGGCAAGGAGGGAGAAGCAAATGACCATCTATGGAACCTTGCAAAAGACCTCGGTTTTTTTTCTCCCTGGATAACAGGGCGAATATTTGGTAGGATGTGCTTTGCAGAGAAAGGGGTGGGTGGGAGTGTCTTTCTGTACATATATTACCATACCTTAGAGCCAATGGTCCCCTGTATGCCTACACAACAATGTATCACTACAACACGTTTTACAAGTGGAGACTTCTCCCCTTCCTCTCTGACGCATTTTATACCAAAACAATGGCAACACCTGTAGCCATTAATTTCTGCTCTTTGGGTTCTGTCCAGTTATAAAGGAGGCTCTCAGCAGGCTCCCCTCTCAGGAACCATATGTGGAGTCGATATGCCAGCAGCCTTGGAAGGAAAACGGCCTCTGAGAAGCGCACAATGGCTCCATAATCCCCATCCACTGGACCCTCTTGAACCGCCGCTTTATTTTCCAGTCAAAGAACTGCCACTCTAAGAGTCAAGCTGTGGCTGCCCTGGGAACCCGGGGGAAACCTGCGCTCTTGCTGGTGGGGCACAACCCCAGGGTGGTGTCTCTGAGCCCCACAGCCGAGTGCGGCAATGTGGAGCCCAGAAACTGTGTGGCATCCCAACATCTTTTCTTGCTCTCCCCTCCAGGCTGAAGCTTTAATCCACAAAGCCACCTCAACCTCCCCTGCCTCTCCCCCGGAGACCACACAGCACTCCCGGCGGAGCCACAGCTCCGCCCCCTCACACCGGGTCACGCTGATGGTTCTGTTCCACCAAGCGTGAGCCCCTCTGCTAGGCTCACACTGACCCAGGTTGAGCAGGCTAGCAACTCTTCTGACATCACGTGTGTTGCCGGTTTGGGCGGGGGGGCGCAAAGGCTGGGGTGTGGCAGCGCGCCCTTTAGGTTCACCGGCTTCTCTGCCCAGGGCGCCGTATTTGGTGACCGTGTAGAGAAGGGTCAAACCCCCACGCCTGCTAAGACCATACACCTGGGGAAGCGGTTAGGGAAGGGGGGGGAGGCTGTCTGCGGAGGCTCAGCCCCAAACAAACGTCGTTTGGACAGAGAAGGATGGCACTGGGATGCAATCACTGGAGTTTTAAGCCAAACTCCTACCCTCTCCGCCTCCCTTTTTACACTCCCTTTGGGGACCTCTGGCTGTGCTTTAGGGTAGCCGGAGGTCTCGGAGACCGTAAAGCACGGCTCTTTGGCAGCCACCGGGCTGTGTGGATCTGGGACCTGGTAAATGGCAACCGGGTCTCCCTCCCGCTCGGCCTCGGCGGCGACTCCCCGCCGCGTCCCGGGGGGGGGGGGGGGCAGGACTTACGCAGTTGTGCTCCGCCGTCTGGAAGTCCCAGGGGCAGCTCTTGGCGCGCTCCTGGATCTCACTCATCCTGAAGAGGCAGAGCGCCGTGGTGGCGGGGGAGCGCCTCTCCTGGCCCTCCCCGGTGGCCGCGCTGAACACGCCCGCCCAGACGCCCAGGGCCTCCACCAGGCTGGAGGAGAGGAGCAGGCGCCGGCCGTCGGGGTGGCCGTGGCCGCAGTCGAGGGCCGCCTGGCCCTGGAACTGCAGCACCTTGGCGCTCTGCGCGATGCGCACCATGCTGGGCCAGCCCGTGGCGGCGCCGCTCGTGTAGTTGTAGGGATAGTAGGGGAAGTAGACGCTGCCGTTCCAGAGAAAGGCGTCCACGAAGTGCAGGCTGCCCGCGCCCCCGCGCAGCTTGAGGCGGCCCAGCTCCTCCGTGGCTAGGCTGCGTCCCTCCGTGTCCTTGAGGGCGATAGCGGTGTCGCGGTCGGACGCCGCCGGGTTGCAGCGGCTCGCCGTCTCGGGCTCCGGCAGCACGTAGGTGGCGGCCACTGCCAAGTACCAGCGGTTCTGGTCCCCCGCGCGGTACACCACGCCGGCCGTCGAGCCCTGCGGGTGACACGACACCACCTCGGTGCCGTTGCGCAGGGAGCTGTGGCTCAGGTTGCCCAGGAGCCGCACCTCGCAGGCGCCCCGGTCGAAGGTCCAGCCGGTGAGCAGCAGCCCCTGGAGGTCGCCCGCCCCCTCGCTGTAGGGCAGCAGCAGCTTGCTGAAGCTGCTCCCCGGCCGGGGCCGCGCGGGGGGCGCCAGCGAGACGGGCTCCGTGCAGTTGCCCGCTTGGTCCCGGTACAGGCGCGAGAGCCTGTGCTCCAGGCTGTAGTCCAGCTGGTCCAAGCAGCTGCCGCTCGCCACGAACACGCCGTCCTCCCGGCTCGCCGCGATGGCTCCGATGGCTTGCTCCGACCGCCACACGGGCTCTTCCGCGCCCCGGCTTGGCGCCGCCAGCGCCAGTAGATAGGCGAGCAGGGGCAGCGGCGCGGCGGGGCGCGGGGGGCGCGGCGGTGCCTTCCTCCGGGAGACCTCCATGGGGCTGGGGGGGCCGCCCCCGGGTTGGGCGCGCGGCGGCGACGGCGGCTCAGGCGCGCGGCGACGGAGACGCGGGCGGCGGCGGCGGCGGCTCCTGCGCGCGCTCGGGCTCCCGCGGCCGCCCCATCCCCGCGGCTCGCCCGGGAAGGAGAGCAGGGAGGGCGGCACGCGGCGGGGTCGCTCCGGCAGCCTGTGCGGCGGCTGTGGCGGCGGCGGCAAGCCCTGCGCGCTCCGGCGCCGCTTCCTCCTCGCCCTGCTTCTCCGGAGAGTTCCTCTGTGCAGCGCTGGCGCTCGCGGGGAGGCGCGGAGGGTAAGGGAGGGGACGCGCGGAGGGGAGCGATGCAGGCGGGGAGGGCTGGAGAGGTTGGGTGCGCTTGTGCGTTTCACTTTCCCATTGTGAAAGTGGGATGCAACTGGCCCCCTTCCTCATCCTCTTCCTCCTCCGCCCTCCGCCTCCTGCCCGCCCGCCTTCCCTCCCTCCACGCCCATCTCCCCTCCCCTCTTGATTCGGTGAGATAGGGAGGAGGAAGGTCTCGTAATTTGGGTTACTGTGTAGGTGGCCTCTTTCATCTATTCATAACAAAGCTGAGCCGCCTGCTGTTGCCGCCACGGCCGCCACCATCGCCCCTTGGCTCTCCCCGAGCTCCCGGGGCGCGCTAGCAGTATGCCGAGCGGGCTCCCAAGCCCGTCCGCCCGCGGGGCCGCTCCAACGCTCGGGTTTTGTTTATAAGAGCAGCCGGGGGATGCGCCAGGCACGGGGGAGCGAGGACCCAGGGCGCCGAGGGTTTGCAGCTGAGGCCCAGGGCTCAGGCCACAGCGAGGCTGCAGGGCGGCTGACAGGTGTGGAGCGGCGGGAGGGAGGCCCTGGGGAGGCGCGCGGGAGACGCGGCCGAGCCGGAGGCTCAGGAGACCGAGGCGTCCCTGCCACAGGGCCTGGGTTTCCCCGGGTCAGAGGAGTGAGGTGGGGGAAAGACAGGCGCCAAGACTCCGGTTCTGGACAATCCCCGGGGCCAGAGCTCCCATATTTGAAAAGGTTCTCTAATCTCCCTTGGCAACGGAGTCCCAGGCTCCCAGACCTGGAGCTTAGAAAGTTCTACTCACCATCTACCCTTATGATCCTGGCTAACATTTATTGAGCACTTACTATGTGCCGGGTACTGTCCCAAATTTGCCCCGTGGATTAAGATTCATTTATTAACCTAATAACCCTTTTAATTAGTGACTGTTATTATCATCATCCCCATTTAGTAGTGAGAATGATCGTGGTGAGGTTATGGAACTCACCGGGGTCCTACTGCTGGTTAACAGTAGAGGTGAGATTCGAATCCATATCTAGCTGCCGGGCCGCTTACACATCCCGCTCTAGCCAGGTGCCACCTGTGGCCGATCGGATAAGGCTGCGAGATGATTTTCAGCAGGTGGGACTGCAAAGTTCCCCAAGTTAAATGCTCCAACCTGCCCTCCCCAGCCCAGCCTTCTAATTTTAGAGCCAGGTACGCTTCATTCCCTCAAGTCTCTCCCTCTGTCTCTTCCTTTCCTGCTTCTTTTCTTCGGACCCTCTGAGGTCTCACCAACTCACCCAGGGGTGCCCCCAAAGCCACCAAGAATTTCTGGAGCACAATGAATTTCTGAATCACTGCACACCTGGGTGTAGGTTCATGATTTCTCAGAGGATGCACAAATGCCTCCCAGCTTCCTGAGGCAGCTGATGGCACCACCAGCACACTTCGAGTCTGGCAGGTGACCCAGGGGTGTACCAGGGGTCTCTTGAGGACCCGGATGCATCCTTGCAAAAAGATCTCTGTCCTTCCCTGGCTACTTCCAGGCCACAGGGGTCCCAGGGAGAGTAGCTGGTTGCATTGCATTTATTCCTTCCCCTCCTGGCTCCCCAAGTCTAGATGGACTCTATTTTGGCGGGGGGGGGGGGGGGGGAGGGGGCCAGTAGGCTTCCTCCAGATGCTGAAAGCCTCTTGAAAGAGCAGCTCCTGTAGGTTTCCAGCTTCTGCGATTGTGCTTCAGGTTCTCCCCAGTGCTGGCAGATGAGGCAGGAGAAGGAGCTCGGGGAGGCTGGAGGAACAGAGGGTGGGGTGAGGCAGAAAGCAGAAGAGAAGCAAAACTTTCTGCCCTTGCTGTGCAGTTAAACAATCCTCTCATCCCAGCGGTGGCTCTCATATTCTGAATTCAGAGTGGTGGTTGTCCCATTCATAATTTCCTTGTCTGAAATTGGATGACATTATCTCTGCCTGCCAGTGGGCTGGAAATACTTTCCCATGAGCTGTGCGGCGGTGGCGGCAGCCAGGGCGCTGGGGAGAGTGGGGGAGTGAGGGAAAAGGCCTAAGACCCCAGGCTGACTGACGTTAGTCAGGAGACTGTCGGTAAGGCACATCAGATGCTCTCTCCGCTCCAAGATAATCAGGCCTCACTCCCCCCTTCCCTGCCCACCTGAAATGTTTTAAGAACTTCCGCCCTGCTGGAAATGGGAAAAGTAGTACCTACGAAACATCTGCAGAAACTCACCAAAGCCCTCACAGCATAGGAGGGGATTTCTGTGGTGGACATGTTGGCAATTCTCCCTGTGAATGATGAGGAACACAAAGATCTTCGCCGCTGCCGTGAACCTGCCGTGGCAGGGCTGTTATATGCTGAGAAGCAACAGTTCAGTTCCATTCTGGAGATAGTTTTACTTCACTGGTAACACGTAATTTCTCTAAGTCCTGCAGAGCTGCAACAATGAGTAGCAGACCATCTTGGGAGCTATTTGGATTAAACATACTCTATGGTGCAGCATTTTGATCACTACTCAATTCATTGCCGCCTCATTCTGAGGAAGAAACATCTTAAAAATACCCCCAGCAAGAAGTATAAATGGCTCTGATGGCTACAGTTTCTCACCATTCTAGAATCTGGGACCACAAGCCCCACTCCTGAAAGCACGCTTCTTTTTCCTCCCATGTAATTGTCTGCAGGCGCCTATGGTGAAGGAAATCAGAAGCTGTGCCTGCTTTTTGGCACGATAAATGCGGGAGACTAGGAAGCATATAAATGTATTCTTTGCTGAGTCTACCCCATTTTGTGCAAACATGTTTGCCCCTTTCCAATTTTCCTGTGTACTAAAGCTCCACCTTCAGGACACAAGTTCACATTTGAAAAGTGTGGGAAATATGAACAACAGAAATCAATATTTGGGCATGTGGATTCTCTCTGTCTCGGCTCGCTTTCTCCTGGACGCTGGTGTCTAGCCGGGGGTGCGAGTCGCACTGGTGACACAGCTTCCTTCTCCCACTGATGGAGCCCGTTCTGGTGGGTGTCACTCACTGCACATTCGGAACTCCTTATCACACAACTGGCTGAAACCCAAAGAAAAAGAAGATGGTGCAGATTTATCCTCCAGACAGAGGCCTGCTACCACGGAAACAGGCAGTTCAGACTGATTCCGAGCAGTTTTATTTGTAGCATTCGCTAGATGGGAAAATCTTCATAATGAGAAAATATCAACTCCCTCAGGCATCTAAGGCAATCTGGGTTAACCAGACCATCCACCGTCAGACTCGTTTCTGCCGGACAAGACTTTATAGATTCAGTGGTTTCCTGCTGAGGCTCAGGACATTAAGAACTGTTCAGTAAGCAATTGGTCACAGTCACAAGATAGCTATCATTGGTGTTTTCAGTTTTCTTTCTGACTTACAAAAAAAACAATCTGACAGTGATCTGTAGGATGACTGGGCTGGTAGAGATCGAAAGCAACGAAATATTAGTTCTGGTGGTCAACGAATTCTCTGCCTTTTTCGAAGGAGTTACAACCCCTTAGGCAGCATTTGGGAAATGCCAGTGGGTCGAATAGTACCAGCGTTGTCCTCCTAAGACTTAGGCTACTTCCCTCTTCACAGCTTGGCTCAAGTCTATGTGGTCTTCCGCATCCAGGCCCTTATCAAAGCTCCCAACCCCTTCTGGTGAATGACAGGAAAAAGAAATGAGCCAGCCTCCTTTCTAGTCTGCTGATGAGTGGACGGTTGAAAGCAGATAAGATGAAGAGCCATTTAATAAGTTTGAATTGATGCTGAGAGTCGAGTTGAATGCAATTCAATCAACACGAAAAGTCAGTCAAATGCAGCACAGTTAAGATGTGGCTGAAGGAACACAATGCTTCATCTTCTTGCCCGCCCAACATGGCCCCAGACAGCTGTTGAGCATTTTTATGCTTGTGATACTGCCCCATGCCTTTGGTTAAAGTGATGAAGGCCCAGTGGTGTTCCTTCGGTAGGGAGGCATCACTGTTGTTCTCTTTCCTGTGTCATGGCTTAATAGCTCATGGTCATTCACCAGCAGAGTTACAATTGTAGATGGGAGAATGAGTTGGAGGTACAAATAAACAATCTTTGACTCAAGGTCCAAAGACTTCCTTTAAACTAAATAAGAGCCTTCAGTCAGCTTTAGGGACCAATGAGTTATTTCCTATAGTGGGGATGTCAACTGTTGGTTGTTTTTAAGAGATTGGTGTCTAGGACATCATCCTGGCCCCTAGTACCTCCCTTCTCAGGTAGTACACTCCAGTGTCATGAAGTTTTTCTTGAGCCCTTTCTCCAAAACATTCACCCAAAACCATCAGTGGTTAAGAGTCTGAGACCCTTGCTGGTTGAGAGCAAAATAGGGTAAATCATCACAGTGTTTTCCCAGACCAGCTGGAGTTCACCCTGCATGAAGTACACAAACTCATTGGTTAATTATTTCTTCCAATTTGGGGGATCTCTGCAATTTGCTGAGCAGTCTCTTGGTCACCAGCTTTTGTCTGATTTTCACAAGATTCAGGTCTGCCCCTTCTCATACTTTCCTTGCTGTTCTTTTGAAATATGGAGCCAAAAGGGTATCAAGGACTAGACACAAAATGCTGATCCCCATTTAATACGGTGTGTTTTCCTGCATCCCTGTTCTGCCGTCACAGCTCCGAGGCTCCCTGCCAGTATAATCCTAGGCCCTGAATCCTTTGATAACTGGCAGCTTGGCATAAACCCATTCAAAGAAAAGAGCTGCCAGAAACCAGGCCCT